AGCATGTTTTTTGGTATAAAAAGCATACTATTCCAACAGCAAGCTATAAAAATTATGTACAGTGGCATGAGAGATTCAGGCACAGTGATACTCTGGTTAATTGTTAAGATTCTGCTCAATTCCTAACAAGAAAAAAAGATCCTGTCTTTCAGTGTTAATCTCGTGTGTTGCGTTTTCATTATCTACTTGTATTAAACAAAATTATGGTTTTCCAAGCTGTCTTTATACTGTTCCTTGTTGATGATTAAAGACAGCTTTACTGTGATTGCTTGAGAGGTATTTATTACAAATAAACAAAAGAAATCAGTTCACTTTTCAGGATGAATGATTTGAACAGAAGGAATAATGAAATACAAACACTGCAGAGCTATTTTACCAGAGCAAAAATGGCTAAAGAACAAATACAAGCCTTTAATTGATGAGGGTTGTCTTTAAGTTCAACCAATCTAAATCTTGATTTCTGCCACAGATAATCAGTCTGTTGGTTTCTGGGTTTAATAGGATAAATATCCCACTTTTGGAATGTATATTTAGTCCCCAAAGCTAAGGAGATGACACCTGTGATTTCCAGATTGCTTGACTGTTGCTTTTCAGGAAAAAGTAATTGCCTTGCCAGTGGTCTCATGATGGCAGTAGCTTTAGTTCAAGGTTGAGTGAAATTGCTGTGTTTTCCTACGACTTTGAGTTCCATATGTGAGTGACAGAAATCCAAGATACTTGTCTATTCATCTCTGTCTCACAGTTCTTAGCACTGTGTTAGTGCACCTGTGTTTTTTCTTTTCTCTGCTATTAGGCTACTATAAAGAATAAATTGAGACCAAAGAAAGACAAATCACAAGGTAAAACAAGAAAGAGGAAAATAAGATTAGTTGTAGATGTGTTAATATTTCTATTAATACTGATTTATTTTGGAGAATAATCATGTCACTGTAAAATGACAGTTCCATTTCTGCATGTACAGCACTATGTTCTAATAGCATCTTTTCTCCTGTTTCTTTTTTTTTGTTCTTCTGTTTTTATTGGTCATTGCTTCACAGAAGTTCTTTAGCTTAATTTTAATGCTACTCAATGAATGATCTTGCAGAAATGTTGTTGGTCTGTTTCAAAGGCTGAATGGGTGTATTTCCTATAAAAGCAACTGTTGAATGCAAAAAGGGTACCAGGGACTTCCAGCTAAATAAACATTTCTAGAGGATTAAGTGACTAGACAGTTTTGCAATATTAGTAATGTAGAAAATGGTCTCTGTAGGGCAGTTGTCATCTGAGTAGACTAATGGATTACAAAGGTGAATATTTACAGGGAAACTGAGCATTAAAATGTTGAATCTAATAGAATTTTACACTCACTAGTTCTTATTTAGTCTAAGAGAAACATTGTATCTCCTTTTAATTTAACTTATGGCTTGAATGTTAGCAAAATTAACAAAGTGGCACACCTCAATATTTAATGGCATTGTCATAGTTTTTCTTTTAAAAGACATAGCAAGGTGTCTTGTAGTAATTATCTATGTGCAGCTATTGTTTAGCAACCTTTCATGTAAGCAAACGTATTTACTTTAAATCACCATCTGTAGTGGGCTCCATTTGAGAGCAAAAATGCCCTTGCAGCTGTATGGTGGAGATGGGGGCTAAGCAATAAGTGTTTTTAAATTCAATTGTTTAAAGCACTGCATGGAAATGGTGATGGGTATTGTTTTGTTGTCAGCATCAGCAAGAACATTTATATGCTGAGCTGGCAACTTGGAATCAATCATACTGTGGATTTATTATTTAATAAATTCTATAGGGCTGTGATTTTGCAGCATGGATTTGCTCTGCTGGGTTGTATTGTTTTCATATAATCTTTCTGTTCCACTTAGAATCTGCATGTTGTACAAAAGAACATTTTGAGCTGCTGTTTCCCTAAAAATAGAGTAGGTATTGCAAGGCTGAGTTTTTTTCTTGTAGTTTTTAAAGCTCTAATGTCATCATTTAAGTTAATATGTAAAAAATAACAAAACAGAGGTCTAAATCCTATCTTTAAAGCAGGTTTTTATTGTGAACCATAGATTATTTATTTAAAATATTTAATTATTGGTAAAAAGCATGGTAATTAACTATTTAAAGTAACTGTTTAAACAAAAGCAGGTGTGTATGATATAAACCCAAGCTGGAGATGAGTGCACAGAGTGGTATGGGAGGACTTGAAGTTGCACTGAACTCACTGTTTCTGTCCAAGGACACAGCACAGTAGCCAGAATCATGGAACCATTTCATTTGGGAATAACCTGTCAGCTCACCCAGTCCAACCATTACCCCATCACTAACCCCCATCCCCAGGGGCCACATCCACACATCTTTTAAATCCCTCCAGGAGCAGTGAATTCAGCACTTCCCTGGGCAGCCTGTTCCAGTTCTTGGCAGCCCTTTCAGTGAATGAACTGAAGTGTTTGCCTCAAAAAAAGTATGGAAAATATAAATTGAATCTCTTTTCCTCATTTCTGCCAGCTGACAATGATTGATACAAAATACGATTTTAAAGCTGATTCCAAGACTTGGTGTATTTCCAGTAGCATTAGGCTGGGAAAGATCCTACCTTAGCTGCAGTTTTAACTGCATTCACTGAGAGTGGTTAAGCAGAAACAAATGGAAAATACTAAAGAAAATGTATATAGAGGCATACAGAAATATTGAGGTGATGGAAGAGTGTCAATCTTCTTCCAAATGTCCTGCAATATTGTCCTGCTTCTGCTATTGCATTTCTTTGATTGCGTACACTCACATTTGGTTCAGTAACAGCAGAGATGGCTTATATGGGTTTTTTTTGGGTTACACCCCACATAGATCCACAGATTGGTAGGAATCCATTTTTAATCACACACTTGCAAGCGTGAGATAATTAACTGCATATAAAAAGCATATTAAAATATGCTTATGTTGCTGTGAAAGAAATTTTTTCTAGATGAGATTTAAAAGGTGTAAATGCAAAGTTGTTGGGATTATCCGGGAACAATGAGATTAATAGGAACTTGCTGAATGAGAGTAATAAATGTTCATTGAAGTGCTGCTACTATATAATCACTTATGTTTTCCACTTTCACATTTGTGATTTAACTCCTATTAAGTGAGCAATAATTGTGGGAGCAATCAATTAAGGTTAGCTGGCAATAGCTTTTATATTTGTCAAAACACTGACACCTTTTGGAATGTGCTTCAGAATTCACCCTTTTAGCTCCTTTATAACTTTAGGGCTGTCTTGTGAAGCATCACTGTTAAGAGCACTTAAATATAAGCAGAATAAGCTGCTAAGAATATATTCCTGTATTTTTCACTGAAAACACTGCAAAGATTTACACAATTAAAATTAACTTTTGGAAAGAGGCTTTTCCAGCTTAAAGTGCCCAAATAATAATTCCATAAATGTAGAATGGAAAACATGAATGGATTTGGGAAAACATAACTGATAATGCAGTGGCAGCACTTCAATGGACATTTACTGTAGAGTCTCAAGAGAACAGCAGAATTACAAAGTGTAGGATTTTGTGGTAACCGTAGGTATTTCTCAGAAGTGTTGTGTTATGAAACAGAAAAACATCACACATCACTATGTGCTGCATAGAAATTTCTGGTGTTTCTTGTAGACAGATAAAATACCTGGCACCTCCTTAGTAAGAATTCTTCCTTGAGTTCAGCTGCCTATTTAATGAGCTCTGAGTGCTGAACAAACCATTGAAGTCCTGAAATGGACATATTATTTCAATAATATCTTACATTTAATTAAGTTTTTACATTGTCTAGTACCTTTTCCTCTATTTGTCTTAGACTGTGGCAGAGAGGTGAGTGTGTATGGGATGGGACACTATCAAAGAAGGATTTATTGTGTGTTATTCCTTATCAGTATAAGGGAAGTTTAAAACTCAGTCTGTGATAGGAATTTAATATGAGAATATAAAGTGGAGAGTAAACTTTTATCTTACACAGGTCACCACTTGGTACCATATCTGTTCCCAAGCAGGATCTCATATATTAAATTCTTTATCTTAGTCATAATTAAAACTTCAGTGAAAGTATAGTATAAACATCATGGTAGGTTCAGAGTTATTTTTGATTAAAGAAGGACTTTGAGTGTGGTGTGAATATTAGCAGGGAGTCATTCCATCGATGCAGGGATGTACTGACAAATTTACCAGGGAAAGATCAGTAAGTTTTGCACACTTGGTCGGGAATAAAAAATGGCTGCCTAAACAAGATAGTGATTCAAATAAACATGGAAAGGAAAAGGATGAAGAGATCTCTAGAACTGGGAAGAGGAAGATGTTTTTGAGGTGCGAATCTGTCTGGCAGCAAGAGTGGCAGTGAGCAGACCACTGTGGAGAGAATTACTTTGGCCTTAAAGTGGAATGGAGTGATGATTATGTTCCTGTGATTCCCCTTCAATTCAGATTTCAGGAGCTTTTCATGTTGTGTGTTTCCTGCTTCTAGAAAATTCTTGTGGGCTACCTGTAGTGTTTACTCCATCTTTGTTCAAATGGTTTCAGAGATTTCTTTTTGTTCACTTTTGTCAAAAGCAAGAATTCCAATTAAATTAGGTCTTTTACCAAACACCTGCAACAATACTTTTATTAGACTTTTCTAACTAAATGGATTTTGTCATTGCTTTTGTCATTGGTCATGATTTCACCCTGTACAGCAAATTATGAAAAATTTTCTGTATTGCACATCAAATGGTGGGTTTTAATGGCTTTTCTCAAACTGCTTTTACTTAAGGTGTAGAGGAGAGCCTCTAGTGACACTTGAATAGTTTTTAACTCTGCAGAAAATAAAGTAAGTGATATGCAAGTGAATTTTTCTGGAAAATATAAATGAAGTAGTAATAGGTAAATATTTCAATACAGCTTGTAGGAAATGTGTTTGGGATGAAGTATTAAAATTTATGAATAATCATTTAGTTATCAAGTAAAGTATGAAAAAAAGTGAAAAAAGTAAAGAGGAAATCTTACTTTTCCTTTTTGATTTTACAGCTTGCACATGCAGTGGACATGCAAATATCTGTCACATGCAAACAGGAAAGTGTTTCTGCACAACAAAGGGAATCAAAGGAGACCAGTGTCAACTGTGAGTACAATTAAATGTATCCTAAAGTTATTGCAATCCTTGATTAATGAATAATCACTTTTTCCCCATTTCACATCCTTGTTTTCATACTGAGTTTTATGATTGACCTGATAATGTTTTAGTGGTGGATATAGTGTTCCCTACATTTCTCAGGAAATTTCACTATTGCTTAGACTTTTGTTAAAGAATTGCATCACAAATATTAGTAATTTTTTGAGGATGCTAAAGACATCTAAAAAAACCATGTTGTTTCCAAGAACACACTGGAGGATTACCTCTATTTGTCTTCCTTTCTCTTAAGTTTTTAAAACATTAGTGTAAGAAAAAAATAGACATGAGTTAGTAATTACATTCATTATATTTGTCAGTTATCTTGATGGGAATCTACAGTGATTCAAATTTTAGGGTTTTGGAACCTCATTAAGGTGTTTTAGACATTTTCCCACATCATAAAATTGAGACTATAGGAATGTGTAGGCCTGTCATGGAAAGTCCTCTTTTTTTGCACTGGAATAGCTTTTTTTGTGTTTAGAGGAAGAGTTTGCACTTTCGTAACAAATGGATTACTAAAAACAATCAAATACTGAAGTGGTATAACTTATCAAGTAGGAGAAATAACACATTGAAGTTAACTGTGAATAGCCTTATGGTTAAGATGTTTCTTTCAGTCTGTTCTATCAGGCACACTGCATTGTTTAATAGGAACCTTATTCATTTTGCAGTTATAATAATTTTAGTAGTATCTGGCACCAAACTTAGCAGTGTTGTTTGGAAGTGGGGAAAAGGCACTTGAATCCAGGTAACTCCACCCCAGCAGGGAGAGGTGCTAGGTGCTTCTGCTCTGCCTGGCACAGCACATCCACTTACACTGGGATTGTGAATTTGTCTTTGATACAACCAATGAGCTGGCTTGGATCCTACCCTTAACACTTCACTTGATTAATTGTAAAGAAACAAGAATTTCTGATGCAGAGGATCTGTGTATATCCGTGAGAAAGAGCTGTGCTGGCAGCTCTACTCTTCCCCTGCTACCTCTGGGACTTTGTGTCCAGCTAATTGAAGACTCTCAGGATGAGATGGGAAATCAAGATTACAGCTAAATGGTGAAATTTTATCATGACAAAAGCTGGAATGATAATATCTTTAAGCTCTGAATTAAGTCTTCACTGAGAAGTCTTTTTTTCCCTTTTTTTGTGCCAAATTAATCAGTTCTAGGGGTTAATGAGTGATCTGATTACCAGCTATGGACTTGCATTCATGCCATTCTAACTATACAAAGGACAGGAAGAAAAATCCCCAACAATTTTTTTCTCTGTCCTTCCTAACACTGGAACCACAGAAAACAGTTTCTGTGCTGAAAATGCCAATTCTTTATGGACTACCCTCCACATAAGACACTCCTTGCAGGCCTTCACCCCAGCCTGTTTTTCATGTATCTCTGTGGTTGTTGTTGTCCTTTGTCCTGTGTCTGTTTCATCACTGTTTTCTCCACTCTGATTTGGGACTTTTGTTTCAGATGATTGATTGTGCTGCTCAGCTGTGTCAGTCAGCTGTCCTGAGTTTGTCTATCCTGAAAGGTTCTTTTATTCCACTTATTGAACTAGAAAAGGTTTTTCTAGTTGTGGGCATCCCTGGTCAGAATTTACAGCAATTGCACAACACAGATGAAACAGAAATTGGAATTTTGACTTCTCAAGAGTAAACTTAAAATTGCAAGTTTAGACTAAGAAATCCCTTTTTTAGTCACATGTAATACATTCCCCTTCTAGATTCATACACAAACCAAAGGTTTGTCCAGGGCACGCTGTGGTGTTAAAACACTTGATATTTTAACTGTTGGTTTGTTTTTTGTTGGGGTTTTTTTTTTGGTGTTGTTTTTTTTTGTTTGGTTTTTTTTTTTTTTAATTAAATAAAATCCAAAGCTATTTTCAATTTTGTTTTTTTGGCTGTAACTTCAGATTGTGAGATTCACATCTGTTGGGTTCATAAGCACTCAAGCAAATAACCACAGATTTTGAATTGGAGGACATAATCAAATGATATATTTAGAATTTGTCATTTTACTCTGATGCTTGGTTTGAGAGACTGATCCATTAATGTATGGAAGTTTCAATCAAATCTTTTTTAACTATTTCCTTTAGAACATCAGGATATGAAGAACATGAAAAAAATTAAAAGCAATCACTAATACATCACTGAATGCAGTCCCATACTCCTTCTAAACTTCATATGAAGAATATGAACTTGATTTATTTTGTTTTATGCTTTAAAAAAATAGAAAACTATTTCCTCTTTAAAAATCATTTGTAGACTCACAACCTCTCTTGAATGTATCATAAGATAAATATGCAGTGATTATCTAGAAGATAAGGAAAAGTTTGAATCAGCTCAATGCATTCCTTGTATTTATTACTTTATAATATTCTGTATAAATCATCTAAAACTTGATTCAAATTGGGGATACTGTTCTCCATTGCTCTGGATGAATGTTTGGGGTTTTTTTTTTTTTGCTACTTACTAGTTAGGCTGTTGAGCAATCTCAGCAGCAAACCTACAACCTTGTGGTTTGCTAAAATAAGGATTTCCATGAAAATTCCAACCTCTGGCTGTTCAGTGAGAAAGTTAGATTTATATTTCTGTCAAGAATCTTATTGATTAAGAAGTCATAGCTGCAGGGCTCTATGTTATGTTACACACCATGCCTTGTGGGCAGAGTTTTTATGAAATCTGGGAAAGTTTACAACACTTTTTCTTTTATTTTTCCATCCCTACCTTATCAACTCTGTGCTTTTATGGAAGATGTTATTTATTTTATTTTTTATTTATTCATGTATTTTTTAGCATATCCATCTCCCAGTTTATTCATTTCTTAATTGTGTTGTTGGATGTTATGAAGCACAGTGTCATTTGAAATCAAAATTAGTTTGGTAAAGCAGCTTGGAGCACAGATTTGCATTTTGTTTTACAGTGTTTCTTTAATGACACATGATCATATATTTTTCAAATGTTAGTATTTTTGCTTCTGTTACGTTGGTAGTTTCAGTTGGTAAAAACCTTTAGTAGTCTTCTAATACTGAGGAAATTACTGGAATGGTTTGATTATTCTAAGTAACTAGACTGTAAACATTAAAAACAGATACAAATAAAAATACTTGGATTCTTGGTTTTCCCCTTAGTTTTTTGAAAATGAAATATGTGATTGATAGTAACAGGAAAACCATGGTGACTTAGCCATATTTTTTTGAGAAAACTATTGCTTCAAGGCAGTTTTTAAATCTAATTTTCTCTAACATTTGATTACTAGCTGCTGATTTTATTTTCTCATAGAATTCTGTTGACAGAGGTTTTAAAAATTCCATATGTTTTGGTGTATCCATATGCAGGATTACACACAGGGAACTTTTCAGGGAATAGGCTTGTGGGAATGTGCAGAATATGCTGATGAGATGTTTCAAAGTTCAAATTTTGATATTAAATGACAGAAATTTCGCTGCATGCAGGAAAGAAAAATATGAAAAGGATGGGATCAAGTGAGTAATTAAATAATTCTTTAAGAGGTTTTAGTACGTCTGAGCTCTTGCAAGTGCAAGCCTTCCTTGGAGATGTGTCTGTAGGTTTTGTCATCATCATGTAAGAACTGGGCTAAAATTTGGCTTTAAAACTTCTATACTGAAGAACTACTAGTTGGAAGGAAAATACTGGGGGAAAAGTATGATTTTAAATCTCACATTTCATAGTATATTTTATATAGTTGTAAGAAGGATAAATTCAAGATTATGAAATTTATTGCTCATTTTAGTTCTTACCGGTGCCCACACCATTAATTTCTTAGACATACCTCTTCTGTAAAAGTGGAAGAAATACTATTTTATTTATAAAAAGATATGGTGTTTATTTGGTAAAAATCTTCCCTGTATGTAAGTTCTAAATAGCTATTTAATAATGTAAGGATCTGTGCATAAAAAATAAGCACTTATTGATAGTCTGCAATGCATAAGATTTTAAAATATCCAGCCGTACTCCTCTGTATAATTTCCGTCGACAGAATGGTGTAATTCCTCTTACCAGATGGAAAGGCAGGTTAAGATATACTGGGTTATGAGTCAAATTCACCATTCTATTGAGATCACTGCAGCTTTATTTGCAGATAGCAGAGTAAATCTTTTCCCAATTTCCACACAGAGCTTCTCTTGCTGCTCTCCAGTAGGGCAAGAATTGGCAGCAATCATATAATGAATTCACTTGATTTGAACTTCCTTTATCAGAGACACACGCAGAAATCCCACAACCAAATATACCAAAAGGAATTCTTCTTGCTGGAAATTTAATAAAAAACCCCCTTATTTTATAGAGAAACTTTCTTTACCTGACTGAGGGTATAATACATTTAATACTGCTTACTGTGGTGGTTGGTGGGTTTCTAAAGTAGAGTTAAAAAGTATAATATTTAGTGGTTTAAATTACTACAGGAACAGCATTTTGGTGTTTTTCCCTCCTGATTTCAACACTTTTCCCCCCTATTTCTATAATTTGATAATATTCCACCATTAGTGTTGCATATTTGGTGGTATTTGATAGGAGATGTTTTCTACCTGTTCATGCTGAGTCCAGCCCTCGAGTTTTCAGTTTAAGAGAAAACTTTGACATGCTAATGCATGTTACTCCATTACCTGTGACGATTGGAGGAGAATTACAGCAAAATCTGTCATGTAGCTGTTGGTGGGTTTAGCAACTGCCTCTCTTCGTATTTAACTGCCTGAAAATTTCATCTTGCCTCTGTAAGGACAGGTTCATGCCCTCAGCTGGTTCTCAAAGAGCTGGATCATTAGGTTTCTAAGGAGAACAATAAAATAAAACTCCTACTTCCACATTTATGAGAACATTTATGTTTTAAATGTACTCATTTACTGCTCTACATGTAGTAATTATTGTCAGATGTTTCAAGGATTTCAGATATTTTTTTCTTTTAATCCATGTTGCTAGCATCAATCATTTTTTCT